CGACAACAACAACAGTAGTAGTAGTACTACCACTACTACCGCTGCTTCTGCTGCTACTGCTACTACTACTACTACTACTACTACTACTACTACTACTACTACTACTACTACTACTACTACTACTACTCCTACCGCTACCGCGACCGCTACGCCTACGGCTGCAGCTGCCACTACCACTGCCTACGACTGCAGCGACGATGACGACGACGACGACCTCGCTGCTATCACCATCACAGTGTTTTCTGCTACTGCCAACAATCATCACGGTTACTCGCTTCAGGCTACCGTTATTGTTATCGCAGCAGCTGCACCTTTATCTTGTGTCGATTATGAGTCTTGCTTCGTGCCCTTGCTGGCATTACGTTGTTTTCATCCTCGTTGGCATTGCTTCTGCCAGTGGCATGTATACTGTTGGTGTCATGGACATGCTGGACAGACTCAGCATCGGCACGGATGATTCTGCAATCAACAACCGGAGGCCCTGATTTAGACGAACAACCCGCAGCTGGAGGGCCCACCTGCTGTCGGTCGGGCACTTCCCTTTCCGCCACGACCTTACAACATGCGATGCATGGCTGCCGGCTTACGGTCGCCACAGCAATCATTCATTGAGTCATATCCGAGGCACTGACAAGAAAAAACACCTGTAAACAGTTGTAGTTAACGGCAATCGCGGAAGGACAGACTACGTATGGCACCAGAGGCCGGCGTTGCTCTGGGCGGGGCAATGCCAAGGGCGCTACCTCGGTTCGGTGGACCTTTGTCGCGATGGCCGCCCAAAGAGAAATCGTGTTGCTTGAAGAAGCCAGGTCCACTGTTGTTGCCCGGGCCTGAAAGATTCAAACGGTTCTCAGAAAGTAGAAACCTTCATGCAAGCCACAGGCAGGAGGATCCCTGTTGCAGACCCCTAAATGCGGTACCCCTGCGTTCCAAGACAACCTCCATACAATACCACTGTGCGCAAGTCTCTGGATCAGCGGTTCAGGCCTCGTCCGTTACTGTGTCCGCCATGGCCAAAGCCATAACCACCAGAGCTACCATTGCCAAACTTGGCAGAGCTAGAGTTCTCCTCGCGGAGTTCAGGTTTAGAGTGATTCAAGGTTTGGGGTGAGGGTAAACGGACCAAGGCAAGTCAGCATCATCTCTAATTAATGTTGGACTGGGATGATGCAATTATACGTGGCGAAGCTACTCTGCCAAGGATGTCCTCTCGACCATTGCTGAAGTTGCCTTGCAAATCCACTCACCAGCAACTTCCCATGGCCGCCAGTGCACGCACCCTCTGATGCTACGGAATGAACTGTTGAAAGCGGTGATTATCTTGTAAATCTCAGCCTCGAGCTGTGCTTTGGCTCTCCTTGGACCTCCTCCAAGGTGATCTTCTTGAAGAGGTCCATGGGGGGAGGCCTGCGCAAGGATAGTTTGGCTTGTGGGGGGTTCAAGATGGATCAAGATGGATTCCGCGCGTTTGATATGCTAAGGCTAGGAGCTTTCCGGGATGAAGGGGGCAAACAATTGAATAGCCTTTGCACCTCGACTCCTTCCTGCTGGTTCAGGCTCGGTGCTCAAAAGTGCAGTGCGCTTAGCTTAGACCCTTTTTGCAACTGGGCTTGGGGACTAGCCAGATCCTTGCATCACGGCCTTTCGTGTTCACCCAACTCTGTGCAGGTGCATTACTTGGCCAAAGAATGATCCACTGCAGAAGAAGACCCTGGGCCCTGAACCCTGAATCCCACATTGCAGCTAGTGGCCGTGCCCTCGACTCACAATCCTAAACTCTCAAAACCCTGCTGCTCAGGTTCAGCAGGGGGTGAAGGGTGCTTTAGACATCCACTGAACTTGCCCCTCGGGTGCCTAGATGTTGCGGCGGAAACAAGCGAAATTAAGTACCAACATAAGTAGGGATACACAAAATGTGTGAACTTTAAGACAAAGAACGCGAATCATCGCTCCGGCTCCCACTGCACTTCAGGCTGCAGCCTTCGTGCACACTCGGATGCCACGGAGGAGCTATCATCTTTAAGGAGGTCCCTTTTGCCCCCAAACCCTAAACCCTTTGCCCCTGAAGCTGCCTTGGGGTCAGCTTGAAGTCTCCAGGGCAAAGCTCCTGAGCTCACTACTACTGCTACTACTACTACTACTACTACTACTATTACTACTGCGATTTCATAACGCTCCAGTTATCGTTGCTTTTGTGTGGCCAAGCGACGTTGAGGGGAGGCTCCTCCTTGGCCATACGGAGCAAGGAGTAAGCCTGCAACAATGGGCACTTGCAGACTCGACAGCTTCTCGTCCTGAAAATGTGCGTTTCCGTCGTCTGAGCTCGCAGCAAACAGCCGTTGGCGGATCCAGTCGTCTGGCTTTTTGAGGTCTTCCTCCGACACGTGTTGTACACTCAGCAAAGCCTTCCTCCGGCTGGAAATTTGGACAAGGAAGTGTCGCGACAAAGGGCCCACAAGTTGAGGGTGTATCTCACGGCTCGGCAATCGCGCAGCGGCATAGCGGCCTTCAGCAGAAGCCCATCCTCTACAAGGCATTCCGCGTTGCCAGTCTTGACCTCCGCCAGGAAAATCCCGACTCGGAAGACTCAGGACAACACAACCGCAGATGCCCAGACAAGACGGGTGTTAGAGTATCTCCAAACACCTCTCGACAATCAGCGAAGCCCACGCATCAGCTCCCGACATGGTGCTCATAGTCCATGTCTGCCATGAGAAGCGTCCCTTCTTCGGCGTCCTGACAACAGCAAAAAAGACTTCACGAGACACAACCAGAAATTGCAAGACTGATGTGTCACGAAACGATCAATGACACCACATAAAAAATCCACATACAATTATTATTATTATTATTATCATTATTATTATTATTAATTATTATATATATATATATATATATATATATTCTTTAATTTATACTGGATGGGCTGGTGTGAAGTTTTGGGAAAAGGGACGTCCTTGAGCGACCGCACATCTGTTGGGCTCAGCATTCCTCGGTCGACGCGCGGTCACTGCGCTTGAACTACGGGGGTCTAGCCTTAAGGGTACATATAGGGTTTAGGGTTTAGGGTTTAGGGTTTAGGGATAGTAATATAGTAGGTGTATAAGGATCCCAGGGTTATGGGCAGCCTGAGCCCGATAGACCGCATCTGGCAGCCTGGCTACTTCGCTTTCGCCTGACGGCCGCCCAAAGATCGGAGAGGGACCAAAGGTCTGCGTTGGCGGTGACCTGCAATCGCAAGGAGGTGAAAGGTATAATAGAGGCGGTTGAGTTGCTGCTAAGCGAATCAGGCAGATCTTTGCAACCCGCTGCGCTTCGATCATCCAGGATAAACTCCAACTCCGAGTTTCTAACAGCAAGAGCCATTGCAGAGTAACACAAGACACGCCGTTGAAAACATCGAGAGAAGCAGCTTGACGACCATCGAGCATTGCCAACATCGCATCACATTGCCATCAGCATCGTCATGATCACCACCATCAAAACCACAGCTGCCAGCATCATCGCCCTGTCGCCACAGTGATCACTAGCATCAGGAGAAGGCAAATCTCAAAGCGTCGATACGAGCGAGGCCCCTCTTAGTCAGCGCCTCTCGCACTCGAAGCAAAGTTCCATGCTCGGGCGCGTGGGCCAACATCCAGCCCTCTTCGCCTCACCCAGGAGATAAGTCTAGTTGTGGCCCTATGGTTCCTGGGTGAAATGAGATTCTTGCGATCCGCTTCGCACCGCTGCCTTTCTTTGCCGCGGTTCTTGCCAGTCAGTATCATGTTTTCTTGCACTGATACACGCCACTTCTCGATTTGTCTAATGGCTGCCAAGGCTTGCGCGCCCTTCAAAGGTGTGAAATGCTTTCACTCCTTGTTGTCCCTGTTCTCATGAAACTTGTATAGATGTCCTTCTACTTTCCGTGCTATCACTCAGGCTATCCATATCAAATCTATATCTATATCCATATCTATAATATCTAAGCACTACATCTACCTATATCTACATATTAAGCGTATACGCTTAATATATATTCTGACAGATTCGGGTCCTCTATTTTCTTTTCGAACAATTTCGGCCATGATGTAGACACTGAGGCCCACGCCGGCTAAACGTAGCCAGCCGCCAAAGTTCTGCGAGCGAGCAAACACCAGCTCGCCTTTGCCTGGGCTGCGGTTTCGATTCACACACTCGCGCTCGGCTGGCATGGCGTTAGAGGGTTGCGGTTTAGGGGTTCAAGGTTTTGGGGTGCAGAGTTTGGGGTTTAGGGTTTCGACTCGCACTCTCGCGCACTCGGACCATCCAGGCGAGGCGTGTGACGACGAGTCCACTGTGTGAAACGAAACATCCCGGAACTTTTGCGAGAGAACTTGCAACAACGATTCCATACTACGAGGGGGTACCAAAGTTTTTACGCACGCAAACGGACATAAATCAACATACAAATAGATATAGGACGCAAGAAGTATGTATATATATATATATATATACATACATTTTACACATACATACATACATACATACATACATACATACATACATACATACATACATACATACATACATACATACACACATACATACATAAGTACACGTAGACATACATATACATCTACATATACACAGAATTACATGTAGCCACATATGATTACACATACACATACATCTACATACATACATGCATACATACATGCATATATACATGCATATATACATATATATATATATATATGTGTGTGTGTGTGTATGTATGTATGCATGCAGGCATGCACGCATGTATGTGTATATATATATATATATGCATATACAGGGAGGGAGATGTGTGTATATATATATATATATGCATCCAATACAATAGGGCTGTTAGGGTTCAGGTTTAACACGTTTGGGACATGGCAGTGGCAATCAAATCTGCTAAGGCTGCGAAGCCTATGTGGCTCCCTTACGGTGCAACGGTTCTAGGGTTTGGGAAGTCGCCATGCCCCGGCCGTGGGGCTATCCACCTAAAAGGTCGCCAATGCCCTCAGTTCCTAACCCACTGATCCTCACTGCACCTAACTCCCCAGGTGCCCCTCTAACCCGAAGCACAACTTCCAAAACCCTGAGTTTAAGCTTAGGCCAGGGAACGCCTGTAGTACAAAGCCACTGCATCTCGGCTCGGTGAGGCGCGGACTGCCACCTGCCAGCTGAAGAACGTCACTAAGGGCTCTTGGAAGCCTTTTCTGGGCTACGAAGTTCATGCAAGGGCTATTTGGGCTCTTCAATCAAAGCTATTTGGATTTGTTTTCGGCTTTGAGTTCTGAAGGTTTCAGAGCAATTTGCGGATCTGCACATGAGATCTCGTTCTAGGGGCTCGCGACTCACTAGGATAGACAAAGACGGGTTTGATTCTGAGGGTCAGTCAAAACCTGGTTGGTCGGTGGGGGATTTGCAAGAAGGCTGAGCATGTCTGATGTTTTCTGGGCTTCCGGGTTTCCATTGGGACTTGGGGTTCCAGCTTCGGGATGAAACTACTGCGCCTGTGGCCCCGACGCCCACTGCTACCACTGCAGTCTTCGTTTTGATAGCCAGCGTGGTCGTCAATTCGTCTTCTACATAATCACCGTCATCATCATCATCATCACCATCATCATCACCATCATCAAACTCATCGTTGCCGCCACATTCATCATCCTCACCATCGCCATCATCCCCATCGTCGTCGTCATCGTGCTCATCATCGAAGCCGCGGTCATCAGCACTGACATGTCAAGAGACCGGGTTGCCCCCTTTTCGACCATATTCCCTTCCGGCTCGGCCTGTGCGTAAACAATTTCCAGGCAGCAGACACCTCGTTGCAGCTGGAGCTTCAGGCCGGCCTAGTCTTGCTCACACTCCCGGCCTTGAGGGTGAGGCTCCTCAACCGCAAGCTTCACGTCCTTGCCAGGGAGCAAGAACCATTCTTCTCACGTGCACGGACCGATTCGCGGAGGTGGCACATGTTGGCATGCATGTTGGCACCCACGACGCTGAAGGTCGTACAGTGTTGTTCTTTTAATTTGACGTAATAGCAAGGATTGACATCGCAAAGCTGTGCCAGCCTCGCCACGCTTTGGACTCAGAACCTCCCCGATGCCGTGTAGGCCCTGCATGTCCGAGATCATCCTGGCACGAAAGTGACTCGAGCCCACCCTGGAATGAGGCATCGCTCTGCGGTTTGCAGCCCAGAGTCCATCCACGGTCATCGGCGATCTTCAGCCAGCCGTCCATGGTCATCTCGATGCAGCTCACGCGGTCACCTGTCTAGCATTCAAGAGCAAGCAGTTAAGCCTCCGCGGTCAGTAAAGGTTCCCATGCATGACGTCAGCGTGCCTTGTCTTTTCCATCGCAGGACCTGTCGACAGGATCTGAAACTGGTAAATAAAGACTAACTCATCAACGGCACACGCTGGGCCTCAGCATTGAAGTGAGGTTCAGCTCGGATGGGACAGCTGGGCCGCGAGACCTCTGGAAGCGAGTTTTCTTGGCTTCCAGTGCTGGCATCTCGTCCGGCAAATCAACATTGGGCATGCATCCTGCCGAAGGTTGAATATGCTATGGCCTACCAGCTTCAATCGTGCATAGCTTTTTGTACGGTGCAATGCGCAGAAGCTCTCAACTCACCGCGCACCAGCAGCCTCTACTGTTCTTTCAACTCAGAGAGATGTTTTGCACGGTCTCTCTCTCTCTCTCTCTCCCCCCTCGTGCCTCCCACAGGATCTCCGGACCGTTTGACGACATGGTCCTGCAAACACATCTGAAGCACACGTAGAGTGGTCAAAGCAAACAGCACAACGGCCACCGACAAGGTCAGTTCTTGAAAGCTCCACAAGGTTTGGTTTAGGTTTGATCCCTAGGAAGATGATGCTGCTACACCTGCACCAGGGTAGTCCTTCTTCACCTGGCCCCGCGGGAAAGTCCGCAGCACGGCATGGTAAGTATGAAATGTTAAGGTCCTGGAGTTCTAGAGATTCCAAGTCAGATTCCTAGAGGCTCGAGGCTCTACAACTTGGTTCAGCTTCTTTGCGCTGCACTCAAGAACTTCCGGGTCGCCCGGTCGCTGGAAGGGCTGCCTCTGCAGATGCTGGTCCTACATGCACCCACTCCCAGACTTTCAGTTGAAAACCATTCTGCCAACTTTGCCTAACGCTGCGAGCCGAAGAGGACCCAAGCAGATTCAGGGTGCAAGGCACAACAAAAGAACAAGTTGGCCCCGTCCCCGCCCTGGCAGGAGCATTTGTGACTTCGCACGGCGACGCGCAAAGGGATCTAAGACCTGCTGGGAGATGCCAAGCTGTACCTGTGCACCGGAACTGAAGAAACAGGGTTAATACCCTAAGCCCTAAACCCTAAGTTAAGGTTAGTCTGGGGTGGGTAGGGCTCAGGGATTTGGGGTTCAAACCCTGGGCCAGAGGACTAGCAACGTCATTCCCTTGTAGTCCCTATGCAACTATTCTTACATTTATAACTAGTAACTAGTCATCTTATTCCCTTGCAGTCCCCAAGCCAGAGCCCGTATGGTTCTAAATTCATCGACATCCACACGACCAAAACAGCGAGACGCAAGATACTCTGCTTGTCAAAATCCCTCATGACTTCGACTTGAGATCGCATCATGCCAGTAGTTCCCGCCAAGGATCAGCATCAGGGCGCCTCGGCCAACCGATCATTTGCTCAAATCACTCTAATCCTGCTGACGAATCTACAGCCCATCGGTTGCAAATTGCAGAGCCCAGCAACAACAGGCAGATTTTGATTTTCATTCCACCTCCGGCTGGGCCTCGCCTGTCACTCGCAACCGTGAGGCAACAACCTCCTCTGTGAGAAGCTTGAACTCATCATGTGCCAGGAAGCTGAGAACACGAAGCTCTTTCGAGCTCGGGCCCTCTTGCTCACACCGCGAAAGGAGAGGCGATAAGCTCAAGGGAGGAATCTTCCAGGCTGCAGAATCCACGAGTTGGAAAGCAGCAGTGAGATCATCGAGCTGGGACAATGTCCAAATGGCCTCTGCGGCAAGATGGAACTGAAAGTCAAACGCAGGGCTTTCAACAATTGCTTCTTAAGCCGGTCTGCGATTGGTTGCCGAAACAACAACTTGCTCAAGCCGTCCCGTGGGCCATAGTAGCAACTCCCTCATCCACTTTGCTTCTGAACAAATGGCTGGCCGTGGCGTGAAGCGACGACAAGCCAATGGCCCGCGAAGTGACACCTCAACTTTGTGCTGCGCGATAGCAGGGTTTTGCATTCCGATGTACATGGGACAACTCAAAGTCAAAGCAGGTTCTGAGAGCTTTCATGAAACAAGCCCAGGCTGTGCTTGCCAGGGAGAGTGGGCTTGGCCGAGGGAGTCCCTGCAGCGCCGCGGCACCGACCATGGTCAGGAGAGGCCGCTGCCGGCTCTCCGGCGTTCCTGTGCATCACCCTCCATCCCACTCTGAAAAATCCGATCTCAATGACAATGCAGGATTCGACCCTCCGCCCCCCCCCCCCCCCCCCAGCACCCTCAACGAGAATCCAGCTCCTGGGCACCAAGCGAGGTTGGCACTGTGCCGCGGCGAAAGCTCTCCCAGCCGATCCAAAGCCATGCTTGAGGCGGCATTAGTTGGCGGCTCCTCAACTGCGGCTTTCCCAACAAAGCAGTGAACTCGCAGTACTACGGGTGAGTGCGTTCAGGCAGGACGAGATAAAAACCGATGCCAACAAGTCTTTTCAATCCTGGAACCTCAACGCCACGACATATCTGAGCAAGGTGAATTGCTACCGTGAAAGCTTTTCGGTTCGGGATGGTTTGGTAATTAGAGCAAACGAGAACTGACGGATGACACGGCCCATCAGAATCTCTTGCCTGCTCGGAATGGGCCGTTGTAAGTGCCCAGGCGGTGTTCGACAGTTCTTGTGCTTTCCGTTCATCCAGCTGCCCCAGCCCTCTGACTGCCATGGCATTCCTTCGCGCTGCTCTTGATGCACCGTCACAAGGTATGTGCCGTAGAATCACTAGAAAGAAACAGAAAACGATCCCCTCAAGGTCCAGTCGCAGGGCCCGCTTGTCAAGGGCCATGGCCGTGGTCGGCGACTGCACAGTGTTGGAGGCTCCCTGAGGAGTAAACTCTTGGATCTTCACCAGACCAACAGAGGAGGCGGCGGTTGGCAGAGGCACGTCCCGCAGAGCCGAGGTCGCGAGTCTCCACCTAAAAGGGCCTGTTTTTTTTCAAATATATTTGGGGCTGTAAATGATGTAGTACTATAGCTGTGGTATAAAAACTACTTGTAACCTCCAAGAGTCGGCCAGTTACAGGGACCAAGCTAGACATTGGAAACTCCCAGCCTTCTGTTGGCCGGATCTTGGGCACGGAGCTGTGGCAGCTGCGCCACCCCCTAGTGGCTTGTCGTGCCCATAGGAGGCAGATCAAGGAGATGAAATACCGTCGAGGCCCAGGCAACATTCGATGTGGCCTGTGCCGGAGACCGAGAGCCTTCCATCTTCCTTGGCTCTATACATTATGCGAAGCGACGCGCTGGCAGGGCGAAAGTCTCGATACGGAAAACATATATAACAAAATAAGATAAGACTAGGTTAGATATACAATGATGAAATAACATCACATAAGATAAAATACAAGAGCCTAAGCCAACAGCTAACGAGACAATACAAAGTACATCCAGAGCTTCCGCCCGACCTCCGCAGCTGAAGTGGTTGGCAGCCTCGCGCCCTCCCATTCCAGGGTGGCTGACGACCAAGCCTTGCATACTATACGGGCTTTAATTATTAGAATAGGGCCTTGGGGTGCATTATGCTACTCTTACAGCAAGGAAACCCAACATTTTATTGGCAATTATTCAGGCTGGTATATTACCCTCTTGGAAGGGGCCTGGTGACAAGGAGTTCGACAACAAGGCCGCAAAAGCTCGCAGTCTTAGCCCCCAGCCCCGAACTTAGAAAGCTCCCACCCTTTTCCATACAAACTCAAAGCTGCAGAACAAAAAAACGTTCAAAGCTTTGGTCCCTGCTCCATCCACGATTTCAGAACTAGCGATGATGTCTGTTTGTGTGAACATGGCGATGACGAGTAGGACTGCGCCAGAACAGCAATGCCTAGAAACCCCCGAACCCCAAACCGCTAACCTCTAAACCGCAGGCTTTCGTCCCAGAGGCAAAGCTGGCCAGGTCAATGGCTCCAAAAGCATCGAAGGGCTGAGGCGAGCGACGCGACATCCCAAAGAGCCTGGGTTGGCTTTCACATAGCTCCATATTACTCTAGATCTGGGTATTCGTTTGAACACTCTTGTTGTTATTGTTGTCATGGTGACTATTAATCGTATAAATATTAGTATGTGTATTATTGTTACTATTCTATTTAGTCATACTGTTAATGAATACAGAACATGATAACACAACATTAGATATGATACATCGAGAATCTGAGGGATTTGGGGTTCAACAGTTTCGATCCTCACGCTGGCACAAGGGAGGCAAGGCTTCACGACGACTGGTCCATCTGGTTCTAAGGAATAAAGCCAGGCGTTCTTTCTGCCTCCCACCTACCAAGCATTGAGGCGTTCTTTATGTTTGGGGTTAGAGTTAGAGGGCTTTGTGATGCCCATCACTCGTTCAGGTTCTTGCACACTTCTCCTTATCGCACTCGGACTTGCCAAAAAAGGCTTCACAATGCACGGCCGGCATGGTGAACAGGTACCACAGTAGCACCGGCTCGGAACGAACCCGCCAACAAACCAATCTGCGATCCAACGAACAGCCAAGATTTAGGGAGATGGATCAGGGTAAACGCCCCAATCATGCCATGATGATGCTCAGGATGTACCCTCAGGATGCTTCGCATGAAACACGTCGAAGGATGGCCCTGGCCCAAAGTCAAGAATCCGAAGCTGACAGTGATGGTAGTGATATTTATATTTATAACAGCAATCATTGTCAAGGTAATGATAGTAGTGGATAAAGTCGCTGCTCGACACATCGTGCCAGGAGGCAAGGTCCGGAATGCGGCACCCCGTGCCAACGGGCTTCCGGAGCCCCATGCCAAGGTCGTCGGATCCCGGGGCTTGCTCTGCAGACCTGAACATGGGTGTTTTTTTGACACTCACACTCGGACAAGCCTTGCCTGATCATGGGTTTAGGGTTTAGGATTTCAGCTCGCGCGCTCGCACAGCGCGGGCTTCGGCGCTCACACTCGGACTCTCCAGGCGAGGCATTGGGGTTTAGGGTTTCGGGATCTTAGCACACCAGGCGACTCTCCAAAGACTTGTTTACAGACTTTCGTTGTTTCCTGGGAGAGAAGGCTGAGGGGCGTAGCTCCAACCCCACGTTTGGGCTTCGGGAATCCTAGAGATTCCTAGAGCAAAGTCTAAGCACAGGTCTTAGCGAACTGCTTGCCACCGACCGGACAGAACTTCAGGCATCTCGTTCTGCCACTGAGGGGCTATCGAAATGACTCGTGCCCTGCTCGCATGTCCTGAGCTGACTCACCGCGTCGCAGCGCAGCGGAACCTAATGCCATGACCAGTCCATGCTATAGTATATATTCGGGTATTTAGTAAACCATGGTATCTCAATGTATCTCATAGTAACCCTATAGCCTTCTTTCGCTCCAGGGCTCTGCTGCATCAGGGCCGGAGCCTGCGCGCGGAGGATGCCCGAGGCCCAGGCCGCAGTAGCCGAAGCCTGGGGCTTTGGCCCAGGGCTCGGCAGGCAAAGGAGGCGCGTGGCCAAGAGCTCTGCCGGCTCC